GATGCCCAGGACTTTTCTAGATTAATTAAACTTTTCTAGATTATCTATGTCAAGAACTGGACTTGGAGCAATTTTAATTGCACAGGTGAAGGAAAATGTGTGTATTTGCAAGACTGAGAAAATAAGAAAATGAATAATTCCTTCATCAGTTAATATTCTGTTGGCACACACATTCTTGTGGGATCATCACTATTCATAATTACTTCATGGAGATCTCCAAGCAGAATTATTTGGTTTCCCATAGAGATTTCCACACCCAGAGAAAAGTGGAGCGATGTTAACGTCTGGTTGTTCTAACTGCAGCTGACCTCCAACTTCAGAGACCCTCCAGGACTCCATCTAGATATTTGGCATCAGTGTGGGCACCATGAGAATTGGAGTGGTTACAAGTTGTACCACTTAGAAGGAAAATCATAATTGGGGTAGATGAGTAGATCAAAAGAGTTACCTCTGGATGCTGACAAGTGGCTTTTTATACCTAATGTAAACTGGTAGCAGTAAAACTTACATGAATATTTGATATGGATTTTGGCTATTTCTGTTTGAGAAATATTTCTTATTGAATAGTAGAACAAATGTAGCACGATATCAAAAGAAAAACAAGAAAAATTGGAATTTCTAGTACATATCAGCTGCAGTCCCAGATAGGTTAGGACATGTACTGAAAGCTGGAGAAAATGGGTGCAAAGACTTGAGCTGCATTGGGTGGGTAGTGGACTTAATGCAAAGATTGAGAAATTACAGGCAGGCTGTTTCTGCTTGTTGCTGGAGATGAGGCAGACTGACCAGCCGTCTGATAAACAAAAGCTGCAAAAGTTGTTTGAGAAATGTGAACATTACTGTGTATTGACCGAGAATATTACATTATGAAAGGCCTACAAAGAAACAAAAATGAGATATTACTCCCTCTGTAATGAAGTTAAAACTTGCAGTACATTTTGGGGAATGAAACCCAAAACAGTTACAGAAAGATGATTAATAATGTTGGAAGATGCTGTTGCTGTCTGTAGAGCTGAGGAGTCGGCTGTAACTTACTTAAAAGGAAATGGAAATTCTGAGGAGTAAAATGTTAAACTCAACAAAAGCTACATTTTAGCAATCACTTGGGATGCCAAAGGGCAGAGAGTGGAAATACCTACTTAGACTTTATCCTCCTAAAACAACCTGCCTCGCACTTGAAGCAGAACGAAGGAGAGCAAAGCTGAATCATTTTGCAAAACTGTATTGAATTAATGGCAAACGTGTTATGTGCTCTACATGAAGAACTTTTGACTAGAATATTTAAAACAGAGAGAATAAATGTTCATTTAATTAGAGATTGTACAAAACTGAAATTTTAAGATTTACAGGGGGCATAAGTATATGCTGGGTCTTATTGAATAGTTACAGGAAAAAATGTGAAATAAATTGCAGGTATATGTCTAGGAGTTTGATATTTGTGGATGTGGTTTGATAGTTGTGGATTTTAAAACAAGGACTACTTTAGGTTAAGCACAGTAATTCGTTTAAATCTTGTATTGAGAGTTTTTGCAAGAAGTAGAATTTTAAATTCATGTGTAGCATATAGCATATGCATTTAAAAATTGATTTTTAATTAGATACCTAACAGAACATTATTCAAATGAATATAAATGAAATGAAATGATTCAAATTGAATTAGTAAGTACTTCCTGTGCAATAGTCCGGTCATCATAAAAATTGAAAAAAACTGAACAGAATGGAACACAGGAGTTGTAATAAAAGGGGATGACTGAATGAGTAAACTGAGTACTAATTATGGAGAAACTAGGATGGAAACAAAGATATGCTTTGGTTCCAAGAATGTTAATAAAACTATTTTAAGAAAACACTATTATTATTAACTGTAAAAGAAGAATGAGCGAGAACGCAATTGTTTTATCGTTTTCAAAATGCAGTTTTTTTAAAAAAAAATGCAGTTAGATTACAGGAATTTGGAGATATGAATTTTTAGTACATCTTTTGATAAGTACAAATTAAAAGTTTATTTGGTGTTTCTTTTTTCTCCAGAAGTCTATAAAATGCAGCAGATTCTAGATGATTTAGAAGCAGTCTTGTCCTTTGTGACATTTAATGATGTTCTGGCGTAGATTAAGGATAAATAAGAACACAAGAATTAACAAGCTTTCAAAAAGGTGGAGAAAAAAATTAAATAAATGAAAATGTATGCTTAGATTAAATGAGGTAAAGTATTTGGGGCATATGTTAATTCCAGTGCTGTGAAACCTGACAAAATGAAGATCGATACTATTATTAATGTATCGAGCAATATTTAAGTATGGGCAATTATTTAGCAAAACATCTTCCAGAAATGGAATTACAGTAGATGCCAATTGATGAAGACAAATTTAATAAATTAAGAGAGTTGTTAACAAAGGCACCTTATTAAAGGCATTATTAAAGGTGAGAAACTGTGCCGTCAGCAGAGGCTAGCTGATTTAGATGCAGTATTGCTACGAGGAAGTTTTCCTCTGGCATCTCTCCAAAGCCATGTGTAAAGCACAACTAAATTATTCTCAGATGGAAAAAGAAATCTTACCTATCATTTTTGGATATACAAGAATTGTCTCTATTTCCAGAAAACAACTTTCAGTAGAGACTGATCACAAATCTTTGCAAGCGATTTTTAAGGAACTGTTATACAGTTCATATGTAGGAATCCAAAGTTGGTTATTGATGTAGCGATCACAAGAAATGTTTAAGTCTGGAAATAGCCGGTATGCCTATCCAGAGATCTTTCACAAAGTGGAAGAATTTAAACATGCTACATTAAATGATAGAATGTTACAATTATTTGGAAAAATGAAATGAAAGTCAAAAGGAGCATGTCCCAAAAAGGAAAGATGTTCCAGAGAATGTAAAAAAATACTAGAATTAAAGAAAGAAATTAGTTATTATACTTGAACAGCTAGCAGTAAGAATTTGAAAATAGTATATCAAAAGCCTTTGTGTAAGAGAGAGGCTAAAAAGGTTTTCTTTTGGCTAGGTGTGAATACTCGAAAGATAATGTACAAGGTATATCAGATTTTCAGAAATATAAAGCATCAACAGAAATGCATGGATTAGTTTATAAGATCTTAGAAGAAAGTGGGAAGACTAGTTGTTTTTCTAAATTTCGTGAAGTTTGCTTAGAATTGTTGTTTAGTCAAATAATAATTTTGTGTTGTCTCTTTTCATAAAATGGGGAATCTCTGAAAAGATTGTTATACTTAGCTTTATTTTTCTTGATGTTTTTGGATTTTACTCTTCTATTGTTTCTTTTAATAAACTGGTTTTTAATTTTCTGCCAGTCAGAGTTATTTGAAAGTGGGGCAGCCTACAAATTAAACAAATTTTACATTATACAATTACACCATATAGTTTTGTACATTATACATTTTGTATAAATGTTGTCAGAGAAGAGCAACAAAGATGATTAGGGGACTGGAGGCTAAAACATATAAAGAACGATTACTGGAATTAGGTATGACTAGTTCAATGAAAAGGACTAGGGGTGACATGATAGCAGTCGTCCAGTATCTGAGGGGCTGCCCCAAAGAAGAGGGGCTCAACGTATTCCCCAAAGCACCAGAGGGCAGGACAAGAAGCCATGGATGGAAACTAATCAAGGAGAGAAGCAACCTACAGCAGAACTAAGGAGAAATTTCGTGACGGTGAGAACAATTAATCAGTGGTACAACTTGCTTCCAGAAGTTGTGGTGCTCCATCACTGGAAGTTTATAATAAGAGATTGGACAGCCATTTCTCTGAAATGCTATAGGGTTTCCTGCCTGAGCAGGAGTTGGACAGTAAGACCTTGAAACTACCTTCCAACCCTGTTATTCTGTAAATAAAATAGAAGACAAAATAAAGTAATAAAATAAAATAAAACTAAATAAACAACAGATCATGGGCCACAATTTTGCTCATTGGAATTTGCAAATAATTATAACTTCATGGACTTTACTGCTTGGTCATACTATATCCAATCAAAAGAGATTATAAAAAGAACTGTAGAAAGGATCCATCTAAGCTTTACTGCCACCTGAGATGCTTTCAAGTCCACCTCAGGCATCAAGAAATAAGGGCAGTGGCAGGGAAAGCTGTGGCAGCCCAAAAGGGGTCCACTCAATCCGGCCAAAGTCAACCTGAAGAAGGGATACAGAACAACCACCACCGCTGCCTTCTTTTACGTCTACAGCTCACCATTCTATTCCACCAATGGAAGGTAGAAACCCCTCCCTCACCCCAGAACATACATTCACCCCAGGAAAGGAAACACTCCCAAACTTCTGAAAGTTGTAAATGCAGCTTGCAAACATGCCTTTGTCCTCAACACACTCACAGCAGATGTCTCCCCTCCCCCATTGGTAATTTCCAGTTTCTGCCCAAACAGGTAGCAAAATAAGGGTTCTATTGCTTTAAACAAACCCTTATGCACCTATAAGATAGAAGGTGAGACAAAACAAAGGAAACTCATGCTGTGGGAGAATGTAGCTCCGTCTTTCAAAAGAATCCATGAAGAAACAAAAACTCTTGGAATAACCTCACAGGTAAGGAACTGCAAAATCTGTGAGTCAAGGGAACTGATGGCCAGGCATTCGCCAACACATTGTAAAGCTAACTTTTGCCAGACTACCCTAATAACTAAACTAGCAGCAATAATGAATTAAAAGAGATAGAGATTATCTCCCCCCTACCCATCTGTGGGGGTGAAGTATTTCAAGCATAAGAGAGAGGGGGAGGGAGGGAGGGAAGGTAGGAAAATCCCTGAAAACCATGCTCTCCCCCTTCAACAAACCCACATAGCCCACCACACAAACTCTGTGTGTGCATCATGTGCTGAAAAGAGGAATAACAATTTGCAGAAATGTAAATCAAAGGTGGGGATGGAGTGAAAAATTGGTCATAATCAAGAGAGTAACCAAACCCCAAAGATCACCACACTCCTGTATTGTTGTCATAGTCTGAGTGTCTTCCCGTGTTCTTTCTCTGGTCTGCAGGCATCAATTTACATAGTACAACCAATAAACCAGGTTGAAGAATCCAAAAGTGATGGGGAAAATGATCCTTGACCATTTGTCAATGGTGCTGACATCTGCTAGGTCAGGAATTTTGAGCTTCAGCTTGGACGATCGTCGGCGGAGTCGGCAGTTGGCACGATTACGGGCTGCTGCATGGTGGGTCAGTGGGACGTGGCGTTCTAGCGGTGGGTGATGCCCAAAACCATCTCGGGGTCCCAGCTGCTTGCGGAACTGGATTCCTGATCCTTCAAAGGACATGACAGAGTTTCGTGATTCTCCTCCTGAGGTCATCATATCAGAAGCTAATAATTCATTGTTCATTTCCAAGGAGCTGAGAAGAATGTTGCCATAAGGGTCCACCTGAAAAAGAGCCAAAGATTAACATTCCATCTGTACAATGGATGATATCTGAACACAGGTGTTGATGTCATAAATGATACATTTATTTGACCAGCTTTTTCACAAATTTGCACGGAAAGAATCAAGTGTGAAAGTACAGGTAGTCCTCAGGTTACAAGGACAATTGAGTCCAGATTTTCTATTGCTAAATGATGCCATCTGACCATGTTACTTAGCAATGGCAATTCCAGCAGTCCTGGTTACTGTTGTAATCTAAGGACTCTGTCGGTGGTTAAGAGAAGACCTCACATGATCGTGACTTCTGCCTTCCTGCTGCCTTCCCCACTGACTTTGCTCATATGAAGCCAACAGGGAGCGTCAAAAACCACGTGGCCACGAGGAAGGTTTAGTGGCTGGCACTTCAAGGACTGGATGTGAGTACTATTTGTTCAGCGCTGGCATCTCTGAACAGTCAGTGAATGTATGGTCGTAATCTAAGAACTACCTATAAAGCGTTTGCAGGCAGAGAAAGCAAACATTATGTATGAACAAATATTAGAAAACAGATCCCTCTTCCAGTAGAGCAAATGAAAAATAGAGATAAGGAAAAAGGATATGAGAGCTGCTGGGAAAAGAGTGAGAAGAATTATAGCCACAGAATTATAGAGGCCACGGAAGTAGGTGGCAGGAAGAAGTACGAAGAAGGAAGACATGTAGTGGAAGGACCAAGCGAAAGAGACTCTGGATTTGAAAACCTGCATCTAAGAAAAAGATTGTCACAAAAAATGAGGAAGGTATAACTTTTATCAAGAGAAAAATAGACGGTAATAAAGAAAACCCCAAAGAGGAACAGAATGAAGAATAAAAGTGATAAAAGCTTTGGGATGAAACTAAACTGTGGGAATGCTACAAGGCATATTTAAGAAATGTGTATATGTATGTTTTATCTCTATAAAGATAACAATTACTTGAAGATTGGAATTAATAATAAATTGCATAAATGTTTGTCAAAGGAAAACGTAACCTTCAAGATCCTCCTCCTTGCTCTCTATCTGCCATGAGGAGAGCAACCAACCTGCTCTCTCGCCCGCTTCTCCTCATATCGGTGCTTCTCGTTAGTCATCTTGTTGAGACGCTCGCTCTGTTTCTTCTGCTGCCTGGAGCCTCGGCCGAAGAAAATGTAGTTGACGAAGGCATATTCCAGGAGCGCCAGGAACACGAAAACAAAGCAGCCCATGAGATAGACGTCGATGGCTTTGACATAGGGGATTTTGGGCAGGGTTTCCCGGAGGTGCGTGTTGATGGTTGTCATGGTGAGGACTGTGGTGACCCCTGTGGAGGGAGAGTTCAGGCACACATTTAGTCCTTTCAAATGTATTGTTGTCAGGAAAAGATTTTCAGTGGAGAAAGGACAGCTGCACAGCACTTTTTGAAAATATTTTTGGAGATAATAATAATTTAAAAAAAAAACACCCACAGGGCACCAGGGAGGGATGATTGTGTGAAAAGCCTGCACTAATTCTGCAAAAGAAAGCTGATTCCTGGGTGGAGTGCCTCTCCTCAGGGGCCATGTGGCCTGCCCTTTTTATGCCCAGATTCTGGATTAAATAGTCACTGTAACAACATCCCAGGTTGCTCTGTCATCCACTTGACAATACTGTACAAGATCTGCAAGACAAGTCTTGTGGGTTTGAGTATACATTGATGCAGAGATGCTGGGAGTTGAGTGGCATATTATTGTGGTTGGTGGAACAATTAGCCAGGTGTTTAGACTGGGTTTGGCATTTTTATGGGAATGAACTGAAGTCTCCTTTTAAATTAGGTTGTTTTAGTTTGTTCCCACCTGGTTTGTCATCCTGCTATCTTTATCCTTGCTTTTGTTGCTTTTTGTGTTTTTAATGTCTTAAAACATTTTTAAACTTCCCAGAATTTCTGGGAACTGGGCAAAATAATAATCAAAATAAGAATAATAAAATACAAATACTTGCAAATAGAAATGGCAAAAGAAAAACCAAGACAGTACACAATAGCAATGATGCTATTAATCAAATGGAGCACCACTTGAAACACCACGGGCATTGACAAAAATCACCATCGGTCAATTACAAAAAGTGGCTTTGCTCAGAAGAGCTTCCATCCAGAGACGAGACCTTTAGGACCATCAAACATCCACATCTGCCTATCCCAGCTCAACAGGTAGACAAGAATGCCAAATCTAGTGTGAACATCTGGCTGACCGTGTGATGAACCAAAATATGAATAATAATCTGAATTGTTGAAGTTCAAATCTTTACAAGTTTAATTTCCAGGATTCATTCTTTTAAAAGGCAATCAAGAATATTAATGTAACTGATATTTCACTTTTTTTTTTTAGAAAAACCATTTATCTTATCCAGATTCTTTTAATTCTTGTCCCAGTAATATTTTGACCAACTATAACCCCAGCCCTTATCCTTACCCAAATCAGACTTGCCCCAGGTTTTACTTATTACAAAACTGAGTGATTGTGCAGATAACAAAATAACTCTGAAGATTGGTATTCATACTTAGAAGGGAATTCAGCGGGTATACTAGATATAATTAACAAAATTGGTAGGGTCATATTGTTTCCTATAATTAGTTGTGAGGGAGAAATATTGTTTATCATTACTTAATCAAATGCCCGATTCCTGTAGAGGTAGATGGTTTATTAATGATAGCCAAGGCCCCGGCTTCAAAGTTGAACAACATCTTCTTATTTGGGTTAGCCTCTCAATTTACATAGACAAAATAAATAGATGTTGCAGAACTTCTGAGAAAAGAGCATTATTGACATGCCAGTACTTACATCCCCAAGAAACAATCTGTGAAAAACAAAACAGACATTTCTTTGCCACAATGTAAGTACCGGCAATGTAAGTACCGGCATGTCAATAATGCCTTAATAATAACTTTAGAAAACTTTCCCAATTTTTTGAAACATTCATGATAAACATTCTTCTGCTGTTGTAGCCAACTCAGTCTCAAGTCGATGTCAATTTGTAGACCTACCTAGGGCAACCCGGGCTGCAGAGGCATCATAATTGATCCAGAAAGAGACCCAGGAAAGAATTGTGATGAGAATGGAAGGCATGTATGTCTGAAGGATGAAATAACCAATGTTCCGTTTTATTCGAAAGCTGAGCGATAAGCGAAGATAGGAACCTATCAAATGGACAAGAGGAAAAAACAACATAATGAGAAGGAGATCTTGGAATCATCTCAGTGGAAATTTCTAGTTTTTCACAGCACAGAACTCAACATCAAAGTAATCATTATACACTTTCCAATAGATGGTAAGTAAATCTAGATGACAGATAAGCAGCCGCAATATAAAGTGAAAGTTGTAATCCAACTGTCTATTTTCTGTTCTGCTTGAATGAGCAAAGATTATTCTTCCTATGTCCTTCCAGCCCTTTCTAGCAATGAGGGTCCCAGTTGTGTAAATAGCAGTAACCATCTGTTTCACAGCCATGTAAATTATAAAATCCTGCAATGCTCTGCCAAAGTGTGTGTGTGAGAGAGAGGGGGGGGGGGGGAGGGGGGGGGGGGGGTGGGAGAGAGAGAGAGAGAGAGATATGATCCAAAGTAGTCTCAGAGCTCCTGCAGAGACCAGTGGAATCCCTCTTCAGAAAATGGGGCCACTAAGCATCAGAAGAACAACTGACAATTAAAACTCTTTTTATCTGCCACCATGTTTTGAGACAAAAGGAGTTGCATTTGTATTTATTGTAACTTAACTGTTTTCAAATATAGTCCTTGCAATGAAACAATAAATCTTAGTTGTTTATTTTTTTTGTCTATGCACTTCATTAATCTACAGTATGGATTTTAATTGATGGTATAGGTTCTGAATGACATTTATTGCAATATTACAGTACTGTAATTGGGCAGCATAGGAACTGTAGTAATCTATATATATAAAAATACCACTCATGCAGTGGTGGAATTCATTTTTTTTTACTACTGGTTCTGTGGGCATGGCTTGGTGGGCATGGTGTGGCTTGGTGGGCGTGGCAGGGGAAGGATACTGTAAAATCTCCATTCCCTCCCCACCCCACCAACCTGCTTTCCAGCTGGGACTCGGGAAGCAGAGAATAGATGGGGGCAGGGCCAATCAGAGGTGGTATTTGCCGGTTCTCCAAACTATTCAAAATTTCCACTACCGGTTCTCCAGAACTGATCAGAACCTGTTGAATACCACCTCTGCACTCATGCACCATCACAAAATCTCCATAACCGTAAAGCCTACAGAATTGAAATTTGGCACATATGTTCCTCCCCCTCCCCACCTGAAAATAAATCTATTCCAAATGCAAAACACTAGCAGAGGAGAGGAGTTTCAGTTTCAGTTTTAGTTTCACAGTACCAAGCAGCTTTAGTACAGAACAGTTGAGCTAAGTCACACCCAGGCTCCTTACTGTCTCCTTCTTGCTCACAAAGCAAATACTGTTTCAGTTTCCATGTTTCAGTTTCCAAACAGCCTTCAACTCTCTCACATACTGACAGGACACCGATGGACGCTGGTAGGCAGAGGCACAATTCCCCCCCCCCCCTTTATTTTCCTCCCCCAAAACTAAGCTCGATCACATAGTTTCATAGTGAACTTAGCAGAAGCAATTTTTCATAACCTTCATATTTCACAGAGCCTCTTCTTTTCCCTCCCTCCCCAAAGTGTGTCTCTCTTTGCCATGTTAGCATTGTTTATTATTCACTAGCTCAAAACCGTAAAAATGGTGTTAGACTTTAGAAAAAACCATCCCATACTATCATCTCTTACAATACTAGACAACACAGTATCAACAGTAGAGACCTTCAAATTTCTAGGTTCTACTATATCACATGACCTAAAATGGACACCTAACATCAAAAATGTCATCAAAAAAGCACAACAAAGAATGTTCTTTCTGTGCCAACTCAGAAAGCTCAAACTGCCCAAGGAGCTACTGATACAGTTCTACAGAGGAATGATTGAGTCTATCATCTGCACCTCTATAACTGTCTGATTTGGTTCTGCAACCCAACAGCACAGATACAGACTTCAGGGGATAATTAGGACTGCAGAAAAAACAATTACTACCAACTTGCCTTTAATCAAGGACCTGTATACTGCACAAGTAAAAAAGAGGGCAGTGAAAATATTTACAGATCCCTCACATCCTGCACATAAACTGTTTCAACTCCTTCCCTCAAAATGATGCTATAGAGCACTGCACACCAGAACAACTAGGCACAAGAAGTTTTTTCCCAAAAGTGATCATTCTGCTAAACAAATAATTCCCTCAATACTGTCAAACTATTTACAAAGTCTGCACTACTATTACTGTTAATCTTCTCATTACTCCTTATCACCCATCCCCTCCCACTTGTGACTGTATGACTGTAACTTTGTCACTTGTATCCTTATGATTTATATTGACTGTTTCCTAGTATGATTTGATTGCTTATTGTACCCTATGACTATCTTTAAGTGTTGTACCTTATGATTCTTGACTCTTGACGAATGTATCTTTTCTTTTATGTATATTGAGAGTATTTGCATCAAGACAAATTCCTTGTGTGTCCAATCACACTTGGCCAATAAAGAATTCTATTCTATTCTATTCTATTCTATTCTATTCTATTCTATTCTATTCTA